GTGATTAGCTGCCAGATATTCTCAACAGCTTACATGTGAAGAGTCTGCATGGAGAAAAAAGAAAAAAAAAGAAAAAAGAAAGATCTGGAAGCTTTTCTCTCTGGATGAAGCACATGTGACTGAGTGAAGCCGGACCAGGAAGGGACAAAGGAGAGGGGAGGACGCACAGGAGGCATATACCCCCAGTATTGCTTTTCCTCTGCCTGCACAAGTTTGAATATTAATGCTAAATCCAAGTGCAATTGACTGGAGGCACACACACACACACACACACACACACACACACACACACATTGCTGCGGCACTGTGCCTACACTACTTGTGGTCACATATCTGTGTAGGTGGGGTTAAGTTGCAGAGCTAGCATTTACTTCATCAGGATGACAAATCAGGAGGAGTAAGCTGGTGAGATGGGGGAAGCCAGGCTTAGAAAGTATAAGGGATCCCAGATGTGAAGCTTTGCCTGAAGCATGAGCCGGTCCAGAGCTATGTCAGGTATTTTTCATGAGCAACATCTGAGGATATGATTAAGAAAACAACAGTAGTGAATGACTTAAACATTTTAAATATGAAGAGTGGCTTGTGATGACGCTCGAATCCCTGGAATGTCTAACATTAAAGGGATTCAGATAAATTACCAAGATTTTAGGCTTAGGACAAACATGAAGCACTACATAGATGTAAGAATAAAGCTTTATTCTTGTAAATTATTCTTATTAATTAATTTTTTTTCTTTCTTCTTTGCAAAACAGTTCAGACTCAATCTGATTTATTTGACAGCTTCTGGTAAAATATATTTTTAAGTCCTGCTACAAATTTGTTAATTGGATTTAGGTCTAGACTTTGACTGGGCCATTCCAACACATAATGATTTTGTCTAAGCCATTCCATATTAGCTATGGCTGTACCTTTAAGGGTGAATCTCTGTATCAGTTTCATGTCTTTTGCAGTCTCTAACAAAGTTTGTTAGAATGTCCTTGCATTTAACTTCATACACTTTCCCATCACCTCTGAGCATCTTCTATGTTCCTGCTATAAGCACACCAGTGCACCTTCCTCCATGTTTTCCTGTGTCTTCTATGCAGTTTGTGGTTTTCTGCAAATTTAACAAATTTGGCGAGGTCAAGATACACCCAGATCAACTCCAATTTACAAATGAGGCGACTTCTTATGGCAGTTTCTTGCATTGGTTTCCCCATCAGAGCAATGAGGGCCAATAAACATTTAGATTTTTTTTTTTAATTTGTGAAAGAATTTTACTTTTATTGTACAATTATGTACCACCTTCTGCTGGTTTATAACACAATCTAAATAAAATATATTCAATTGTGACGTAAGTTGAAGGAATACTTTTGCATGCAAGTGTCAATACTTTATTTCAGCCACAGATTAATGCTCTTTGTAGGGGTTTAGTTACAACTGAAACGACTAAAGGTGCCTCGAAGCAGCTGGTCAGAAAAGAACATTGCCGAACAAAATTATGTAATCCTGTTATTGCGTGGATATGAACTGCTGCCAGGACGGAATAATTTGAACCATTAATTTTAGCCAGGAAACAGATCCTAACTGAGATTGCTCACAAATGTGCCCCCGGGTCATGCAAGTCGACTGAAACGGCAAACCTGAAGCGCTCACATCTTGACCACATACATTTTAACCAAAAAGTATTTGAGTCCGTAAGCGGCGGAGCAGATGGCTGGAAGCCAGCTAAGTCATATGCACGTCTCACAGCAGAGGACAGCTGCTCGTAAGATAAGACACACATAAATATGCTCCACTTCAAGCTGCACCCAAACACTCTCACTTGAGCCTGCATCCTTTTGCGACACACTTAATCCTAAGGGCACTACTCACATAACGTGACGAAAAACAGAGGTTGACTGAGGGCATCACACAAAGGTCCATGTCTGGGAGAATGTCATTACCAGTAAGCATTGGAGACAGAAATCAGAAGGTTAGTGTGAATTCCCCTACACCTTATGAAAAAGAAGAAGAAACAAAAAAAAAGGCCATTTAAAAGTCAAACTTTATTTCTGTCCATATGTTGTAAAGTGTGGTACTGAGAGTTCTTCATGGACACGTGCTGCCTTTTTTTTTTTTTTTTTTTTTCTTCTAAGGGGAAGTTTATACGAGGACAGATGTGCAGAGTCTGACCTGTAATAAAGTGGGTGAGAGTCTCTGATTGAGATTTCAATTTTCTTTCTTTTTTTTTTTTTTTTCCATGAATGAGAGCAGGAGACATCCTGTCTCTGCGGGGTACACACTGCTCATGTCGCGTGACTCATCTAGGATCCTGATAGGAGACGAAATCGTGCGGACAAAAGAGCTGCCTCCCTTGCGAGGAGACTGCAAATTATTTGCCGTTGTTTCTTATGCAAATGACAAATTGGTGAAATTGTCAGACGGCTGAATGGAGCTGGATTAATGTTAATGCTTAAAGATTCAAGGAGATCACACAGTCGATTTACTTAAGCATTCAGAACAATATGCGGTTAATGCAGAAAAAACACCTTCAAGCATGAAAGATTAAGTATCTGGATTACTGTATGTTTAATGCCGTGTGTATAATTTAAAATACCTCTTTGATCCTTAAACACACAGTTCCTGCGCTTTGAAGGGAACGTGATATATTCCACTGTGACATGGATGGCTTGAAGACAACAAAGGGAAATCAGAGTGAGCTGGGAAAACTGCAGGAAGCTCTCTGTCGTCACAAAGTCTGGGGTCAATGGAGGATCTGAGTCTGGGGAGCACAACGACTGGAGACTATTTTATTTTCTTTTTTTCTTTTATGGGATCTTTAAAAGATTGCAGGACAATTAGAATCTGGCAGATCTGGCAGCTGTGTCATCCCGACCGGCTTTATGTGTACTCTGGTGTGTGCGGGCGTGTGTGTGTGTGTGTGTGTGGAGTGCATTCTTCACAGCAGGATGTGATTGAAGGCACAGCGGTGCAGAGCAACCTCTCTGTCTGGTTCCAGGGCTGCTGGGTGTTCCTCATTGTGACAGAAGCTCATAAAACATGAAGCATTCACAAAAGGCTAGGCTCCCCTGTGATCACTTCGCCACAAATGACTTTCTGAATTTAACTACTGTGGCACAATCTGCCCGTGCAAAGCACTGAAGACGAGCAAGGGGTCGTTCTACGCATTTTAAAAAGTCAGGCAATTCTGAAGCCGGTTGTTGCAACCATCTGGGCAGCAGCGTCCTTGGCTCGCTAATCATCTGACAGAGCTTTTTTTTTCCCCACATCGCACTCGTTACGCTGGAGGTGGAGTGAAAAGGGCAACATCGTTTTAAATCCCACTCATCCTCACTGTCAATCGAGAAGGATGGGAGGGGGAAGGAGGCTGGTTCTTTCGCTGCTGGAGTGGGTGTTCTCAAAGCAAACGTGATCCCGTTTGCAGCAAGAGGGTTCGTGACTCACTGGCATCGACACTTGTCTGGCTTCCAACAGAGATCGCTCCTCCTTATCCCACCCTCTCAGCCAAACAGGTCCCATGAGTCATGAACACCACCACAATATGCCTTAAATATTTTATAAAGGCCTGTGTATCAAAATGACCGGTTAGATTCAGGTAGCCTATTAGCTTTGTGCTCTAAAATATAATCAGAGTTCTGAGTTAAAAAAAAAGGGTTCTAATTTCACTTTATCATTCACTTAATGAAACTCAGATTATACCAGTGTTGTAACAATAGAAACGTTTTCTGGTATGATGACTTTTAACTCAGGATTTCAACAGACTTTTGTTCAGAGTTCAGCAGATGCCGCCAGGAAACACCTTAAACTATTGCCTTTATCCCAACCGGTTTACATTGCTTACAACAGGAAATGAAATGACACTCACAGGGCTTTCGATGTATAGAAATCAAACAAAATTTCACTAAATTGTCATGCTTGTCATAATAAAAACATCCCAATTTCATATTTCATGCATTAAAGTCATTTTCATCATTAAATGAAAGTCAAAGGCTTTGAAGCAAAAATGGAGGTGAGCAAATGTGAAACTGATTTTTAATATTTTAAATTTAAGTAGGAGTTAGTCACGTGTTAAACATACTTGGGTCATTTTCACAACCATTATAAAGGATCATTAAATAGATTTTGCTGTAATGTTTTTGGAATCAAAAGCTCTTTTAACATGACAAGTCGGATTTGGTCTTGGACTTTCTTGGGCTAGCTTTTGGCTTTTCTCTTGGACCGATATACAAAATAAAGACACCAAGACGTTCAATGCAGGTATGGTGAGGTAAATGCAAACAAAATAAAGCTAAGCCAATTTGTTCAAGCATTTCTGCTTCATTGTCTTAAACTGAGGAGAAATCTACAGACAACAATGGAGGAAAGTGAACAACAAATAATAGTTAAGACTGCTTTTCATTGTTCTATAAAATCTGATAAAGCATCAGGGAATAACTTCAAAACCAACTTAACCATGTTTCCGTTTCAGCTGAATTTCCAGCAGCTAAGTATATGCAAGACATCCAACTTGGATTGAAAAGTTTAGGTTGGTGAGGCGCAACCAGCTTTCCCACTTTAAGGAACCTTGCTATTATTATTTCTAATTTGGAAGAGAACCTTGCAGCAAGGAGGCCCTGGGTTTGAATCATGGTCCCTCTGCATGGAGGCTGTATCTTCCTCTGTGAGTGTGTGTGTGTGTGTGTGTGTGGGGGGGTGTTCTCTCTGGGTACTCTGGCTTCCACCCACAGCCCAGAAATATAACTCTTAGGTTAACTAAATCGCCCTTAGATATGGTTTTGGGAAGTGTATGGTTGCTTGAGGTGTGCAACTTTGTGCTGCCCTGGTAATGGATTGGCGACATGTCTAGTTGGGTTTAAAAAGCTATTCACTTATGTAAATAAGTTTTTTACACCATGAGAACACATTTCTAAGATGTGGGGAAAAGATTTTGCTCAGTCCATTATATCCTCTCGCCGCAGCTGCTTCCTGAAACCGCCGGCTTTTCATGATGGCCATGTCCCCTCAACTTACCGACATGCTTCGAGCCATGCATCATCACCACCATCATCATCCAGATGATCATGACGCCGAATGCCTGTGCAGCGTGTAGTGACCAGAGGCCAGCCCCGGCTTGACTCTTCGCCCAGCTGCTGAAATGGAAACCGATCCGCGTGTCCACGTGTTTGTGTCATTTCCATGTAATTTGCATATGTAAACTGGCCTCGCCTATTGCTCCGCGGCTGCACCGAATGGACGAGGCGATTCGTCGGCAGGGGCCAGGCGCAGCGGCGAATGGGAGAGCCGCAGCGCGCCGGTCCCGCCCTCTCAGACACGTTGCTTCGGGAGAAGCAACACGGGGTTGATCACTGGCTGTGGCTGCTGCCTCACCGCTCACACGCCGCACACGTCCCTCACATCAGCTGCTCCTCTCTGCCCGACGCTCCTGCCGGATTCACAGTTTGAACAAAGGAGGAGAGGGGACACGACCGGCCGCCGCATCCCGGGAAGGTAGGTAGACCTCCACTGTTCACGCCTCGCTGGTCAGATTATCTCCGTATGAGCCGGCGAAACGCTCCTGTTACCTGTTTTTAGAAGAAAAAAAAATCGTCTGGAGGAATTTAACAGATGTAATCACAAGAAATAAAGATCTACCTATTCGAGCTGAAAGTGGATTTTTGTTAATAGATTGATCAGTGTTGCTAATGCTCTTTTCTGATTGTGCCTTTATGTAATCTAACAGGGTGCTGCCAAATTTACTATGACCGATGAAGTCTATTGTGTCTCCTGATCTGATAGGCGGACAGCCCTGATCATTCACTTTTTCTGATTTTTCTCCCCTTATGGTCAATGATTACAATGTTGTATCTCCTCTCGGTAATATTCTTACATAATGCGACTGTATGTCGGTAACTAATGAGCACCGTCTGTATGTATACATGTAGGGGCCCCATACCTGCCCAGGTGTGCACCATAATGGCTGTCTGATATTTCACATCTTTGACAAATTATACATTCTGTCGTTTCTTAATCAAAATAAAAGAATTGCAGGCCTGGGTCGTGTTGAAGTGTTTTCAGAGGCCCAGGGTTAATCGATATTTGTTAAAAGCCCCGCATGTTGTTTCATTACATAAGAAAATCAAGTCTGTGGTTTAACAAGTCCAGCTTGATGCTATAGTTTTTTGTTTTTTTTTAGATGTATCAAATGCTCAAGTCATTTGTTTTATGAAAGTAAAGTGTAATTGCCTGATGAGACTTCATATCACATAACATATGGGATCTCTTAGCCCATGTTATAAAACAGAAGATTTTTATAGTGGACTCTATAAAGATTAGATAAAAAGATTTATACTAATCTGTTTGAACTGCCTTATGTGTTAGTATATGTCACTTGCTTGCTATTATAATTTTATAACCACAGTCTGGTTTCTGTGATCTTTGATGCTCCTTTTTCAATCCGTGAAACAGATGCATGCAGCATTTTTTTTTTATTTTTTTTTTTTTTTAGGCCTGTGTCGGGTTGTGTGAATGAGTGAACCCCCTCTGCTCCACCCTCGCTCTTTGACTATAAGACCAGAATCCTAAAACAAAGAAAGAGTGAGCCATTGCTCCTTCTAACCCTCAAATTTAACAGGAAACCCGAGACATGCCAGGCGTTAACAATCCAACCACTAAAGATAACCCTGTGCTGTTCTCACTTCCTTTTATCGCCAAGGAAACGCACTGAAGCCCATGCGAGCAATTAGGCGTCCGCGAGAAGCGTTTTGAGTTTGTTTGTTTTTTTTTGTCCACGAGACATCCTTCAATAGCGAACCAGCAGAGAGCTGATGTTTTACAATGTCGTTTATTACTTCTTCGAGACGTCAACGCTCCAGTCCCGGCCCTGGTCCCCTTTCTGAAGGAAGCTAACAATGTCCATGGATGAATGTAGCAACTGTTGGGGGGGCCAGAATCAGATTTTACACAATATCGTAAAACTATGATGATAATTACACAAAAAAGTTATAATGTTATGCAATCAATCTTATTTAAAAGAAATTAAAAGCCAGCAGTATATTTTTAATTTGAGTTTAGCAAAAATGAATATGTTTATTGCTCTGAATGTTGTACCTTTATGCTGCTTGCCTCTGTCTGGAGAAACACAGGTCTAACATGCTAATATTAGCAGACAGCCCATTTTTTTATTAGTTGGGCTGTCTGTCTTGTAACCAGCCTGCAGCCTGCTGCTTTACAAACTACCAACTTTTTTTTAAAACAGCTTTGTCTCTGTAAGAGAGATTGAGGGATGCTTCTTCATTTTTAACACAATGACCTTATTAAGCGTTTTTGAGACCTGAAGTATTACCGAACAGAGAGTGGGAAAAGTGTTAGCCTTTTTAGCCTGTTTTTAGCTAGCTGGTTGGAAATGTGGGTAAATAACTTGCTTATCTATGCAGCAGATCAGTCTCGCTTTCTCAGGGAGTGCATTAAAAAAAAAAAAAAAAAGATTTTCAGCTGTAGGAACAATTTGACGAAACTGGTACCTGGCCCATGACTAATCTGTGCACAGCCTGGCATGTGTGAGAACTTCCTTTGTAAAGGTTTACAGTGACAAGAGTTTGGACACGTGTAGATCTGAGGCCTGCAGGGAGGTTTTCGTGTTTGATGGTGCTCAGTCTGTGTTTACTAGCTCAGGTGTTGCATCTGCAAAACAAACAGGTCATTGTGGTCTCACTGCCACCGTCTGCTCTGGCGCCGCTTTGTCCTTACTCACGTCTACTCACTTGGAGATGCTGTGTTTTCGGTAGACTGTTTATTACTGTTATTATTCCACCAAATCCTCGGTGCTCAGACAAGGACGCCCCAGTGGTTATTTTGACGCCAGCCTTGAGTTGTTGATATTTTGGTCATGTGTCTCATCTCCACCCATGGCTGTCTTTAACGTGTTTGTTTTCCCTCACGAATCCCTGTCTCACCCCAGGTCAGTGATGGTCAGTGCTGGTTAGAGCCTGCAGCTGAGGATGTCTGCTACCGATTCGGACAACTCCATCGACTGGCTGGCCAGTGACACAGAAGAAAATGAGAGCGAGCAAGAGCCGGACTGCACCGCCAGGCACAGCCAGAGAGAGGCTCCCCTGTCTGAGAGCAGCAGCAAGCCGAGCGAGGACAACTGGTGCGAGGTCTCTGGTAGCAGGGGATCTCCCGGTGGCACTGCGAGATCGGACAGAGACTCCGGCAATGGACTGTGCAAATCGCAGCACGGAGAAAAGGCAAACGGCAAGAACACTCAACCGGTGAAAAGACCTCACAGCTCCACAGGAGAGCAGTGCAAGGAGCGGCAGCTAATATCCAACGCATTGGAGAAAGATCAAGTTTTTATCAACAAGGTGAGCACCTCTGTGACTGCTGTGTTTTGTTTCTCACTGGAGGTGGTTGACAGCGTCAACAAAACTAGGACATGCCCTACCACCCAGATCCACCCCCACACACCAACACACAAACCCCAACCCCCACCCCCCCACTGCTGCTTTTACTGACATTTCCAGTAAGGCTGTCCCTCCTCTGTAACTGCTTAAGGAGTGTTTGGCGTTTTGGTCTCAGAGAACTGTGTCATTTGATAAGAAAGCAAGCACGGCGAGTGAGTTATTTGACTTGTGCTACTCGATATGTATTTCAGATGTTTTAGCTCATGTTTAATCACCTGACTGTAAATCAATCTGTTATCATTCCCAGTGCATGGAGCTACAATGCTACATCCATCCGCTGTCATCAATCTTGAATGGCCTTCGTTCAGGGAGATACAAAGAAAGTAAGTCAGCCTTCCTGCGCATTTGTCCTGAACAAGTTTGTGTAATTAACTTGAATAGGATGACCGCTGACGTTGCAACTGGAGATGCACCAATGAGGCTTTTCCTGGTTTAGGCTGACTATGACAGGCCCTGTTATTCTTGTTTTATTCTGAGAACTGTGACACATGAAAGAGAAAAATGCAGACATTTTTAAATACAGTAAAACGAGGCAATTATTAGTGACTTGAAAGTGTCACTATGGGGATGCATCACTGAGGATAAAACCTTATTGATGCATATATATATAACTTTTTCATGCTTTTCCATTCTTCTTTAATGGGAAAAACGTGATTTTTCAGTATTTGACCTACCAATCACCAATCAGTGCTGATAAAGGAAAAACCGGCCACGTGGTTGGTACATCTATAATTGCAGCATTCCACATCTCACAAACCCGCGTTTTCTCTGGTCTCAGCAGTAAATTGAAGCAGGGCTTGTTTGTGTGGAAACTAACTGACTAACCGGTGAAAAGGAGCATTTGGGTCTGTCAACATTTCTCCCAGAAAAAACAATGGAGGGAACAGACAACACGCAGACCTTTGTGGAAAAAACGTGTCCCCGAGATTTGAGAGTGTGATGTCTGAAAACATGTATTGTTGTTGGACTATCCAATAGCCACAAATATTCACGAACCCATCTCTGTGTGTTACGTAACAAAGATCATCTCGGGTGAAGGCTCGCTTGGCGACTCCGCCATTTCAACAGATAAAGAAAGCACTCAGTGATATTATTTAGCCTACCAACAGTAAGAAACTTTCTACGCTTCTTTGTGAACTTGGCAGAAGTGAGTGGGAACATACTGTACCATAGCTTTACCAGAGAAGCAGCTGCTGTTTGTGTTTTGGTCAGAGCAGCATTACATGTGCTTTACTGCAGATAATGGCCGTGTCCAGACAAGCTTAGATTTTGGGATCTTGGTCAGACCCGAACCTTATGTGACCCAGTGCTTGCTGCTCACAGAAGCAGGGGAGGCTGTTCCCTTGTACAAACATTTCACAGAGCCCATCTGCTGCACAGACTCGGGGCCTGCTGTTGACGTGCTTCACGCTGCAGCTTTTCTTTCTTTTCCAGGGCTCAGCAGTTTCCAGGAGAGTGTGGCTATGGACAGGATTCAAAGGATCATGGGTGTTCTGCAGAACCCCTTCATGGGGTGAGTTTGACCTACATACCTCGATCTTTGTTTCCCTTTAAATGTTGTATAAAGTGCCTTGAAAAACCTCTTGACTGCTTCAGATTTTGTCGCATTACAGCCACAAACTTCAGCTTATTTTGATTTTGTGTTCGAGGTCAACACAACAGAACACTTAGATGTGAAGTAGAAGAAAAATGGTAGTTTTCAGGGGTTGTAAAAGCACTTCCTCGAAACCACCTGATGGTATTCAACCTCCTTTACTCTGATACCCGTCATTATAAACGATAAATCTTTTGCTTTAAGTAATCACCCGCCCCAGAGATCTACAGCTTAGTTGGCATGTGGTGTTGGATAGTATTAGTTGTACAATCCACAAATCTGGCCTTGACGGGAGAGTGGCAAGGTTAGCCATTTTTAAAAGAAAGGCTAGCCGCTCTTTTAAAAATGTCTAAAAGAATGGCTCGTTTAATCTTTGCCACTAGCCTCTACTCAGATGAAATCAAAGACACAGTGTCTGGTGTTAAATTTGCGCCGCATAACACCCTGAACACACCGTCCCTACATTAAAACGTGCCAGAGACGGCTATCATCAGCTGGGGGCTGAAAAGCGATGATGGGAAGATGGATGGAGCTAAATACAATGAAAATCTGGATGAAAACCTTTTAGAAACTCTCAAAGACTTAAGACTTGGGCAGAGATTTCCCTTACAGCAACCCTAAACATAAAGCCAGAGCTACGATGGATTGTTTTCAAATCACCCAGTCAAAAGTCCAGACCTATGTCCAAATTCAAATTCTGAATTCAAAGTTGCTTTTTACAGAAGCTAACCAACCAAACCAACTGAAATTGAGCTGCAGTATTTTGTGAAAAGGGAATTTGTAAACTTTTCTCTTTCTAGACGTTTGGAGCGGTTAGACACGGAGCCCAAATGATTTGCCACTGTGATATCTGTGGAAATACTCTGTAAAAGATTTAAAAATGAATAAATAAACATGTAACTCTTGCGTCACTTTACAACAAAGCTTTACTTTGTTTATCTAATCAAATAAAACCCTAATATAACACGATGGAGTTTGTTGCTTTCAGCATGTCGTAATTTAAAAAGCTCCTGGCTTTACGAATACTTTTACAGAGCACTGTATGTACCTTCCTGCATTTTATCCTTTTATTTTTTTGTTTTTGTTTTTTGAACATGCTGCAGCCTGGAAACTTGCACTGCCTAAATGTGTTTTTCCGCTGTAGCTTAAATCTGGTCGGGGATCTGAAGTGAAGCACATCCGGCTGCACGGAAATACTGTTTGCTTTCTAAGTGGTCTCCATTATGTCTGTGACACATGGCTCACAGCAGGTCGCTGCTACCCCCACACGCATTCGGGATAAATTTACTGCAGAGACGGCTGAGTCGCTCTTTAGCCGGCCGTCTCGTTAAAAATGTATCATGCTCCTCGGTGGGAGAGGGACGCTTGTGTCTGCTTGATTAGCTCTCCACCGACCATACAGTGTAATGGAGTATGATATTACCCCCATCTCCTCTGTAGGAAGGAGAAAGTCTGAGTCCTTGTAATATGATCATCTTTCATCTAATGAAACTGAAGCTTTGTTGAATTATGTCGATAAAAATAAACATATAATTGTTTGGGTTTTTTTTGGGCTGGGGGGGCTCTCGGTTTTAAAAGCGACCTATTTTTTTTTTCCGGGGAGTTCGCCGAAAACAAAAGCGGATTAATAATAAATGCACCCTTGATATTTAAGCACGGTTTCTATTGGGTGTATCAAGGTATGCTGCTGAGTCTGGCACAGACTAATCGAAGAGACCTCCCAGCAGCTGCTGCCTTCATATTTGAGACAAAGAGTGGGTGTGGCCGCCTCCCGCAGACAGCCTGGAAGGTGGGCTTAGCCCCTCCCACTATCCTTCAGTTTGCCCGCCCCTGCTTTCTGCTCTGTGCTACCAGCTGGCAGCCCCTCCAGCTCCACAAAAGCAGATAGGATCAAAGTGACCTTTTTTTCTTTTTTTTTTTTTTGTTTAGCTAGCGGATAATCTTCCACATGAATTTTACATGTTTCGAAAATGAATATAACAAGAAGGTCCCGATCGTGTGACGGCGGTTAATCCCCTGCCCACCATCTGCTTCTGTCAGGACTCTTCTGAGCGCGCTCCCCTCCTTCCTCCTCCCACGACATCATCTAGTTTATTTCCACAATGACGCTGTTGGACACCGTTGTGGCTTTGGTGTTTATATTTAGACACAAGCAGAGCTATTACACGTCAAGCCACGTGTGAGCTCTAAACATGTGAGAAATGTACTCAAGACTGCTCCTCCACACGCACACATGCTTGCTCTTCAAGGCTGCATATTTCCTAGGTACGTCTGATTGGGGAGATAACAGTTCTCCGAAGCAGTTGGCGAGACTGATTGTAGATCAAGATTCATGCACGATAGCAAAAGTAAACACTGTTTCTTCCTCTGTTTTCTCTCCCCCACCTCTGCTTCCGTTCCCTTCCTTTTTTCCCCAGAGAGAAATATGTTGATATCATTCTGAAAATGGAGGCGATGCTGAAGAGCTGGTTCCCTCATGTGAAACTCCAAGAACAACTCGCCGCCACACAGACAGAGGGACTTGTGCCCAGTAAAAGACTTAAGGTAAAGGTTCAAAAAAAAAAAAAAAAAAAGCAACCATGTTGTGTAAGAGCTCCTCAAGACGACACGAGCCTCTGCCAAGAGTGACAGCGTTGCGACGGGGGAGACAAAAATACCCATTGTTATTTAATCACAGCTCTGTGACAGGAAAAGAAGGATTTAAAGCTTTTTTTTTTTTTTTTTTTACTGAGTCTCAGGTTCGCTTAAAACGATGACACAAGAGCAAAGATAAAACCGGAGGAGTGTCCCTCTCGGGCTTAGAAAGGTCTGAATATACCTGGAAGAATCCTTTGCATTTAACTGGCGTGTATTTATCCCTGACGTTAATCTAATCCTCCCCCCCAAAAAACCAAAAGAAAACAAAGACGGAGGTATCATGTTGCAGGTTTTTCTTGTCATTGTAAAGATGAAATGTTATTACAAGTTCACCTCACAAGCTGTCAGCACTGTTGTTTCAGTGACTACATTGAAAAAAGAAGAAGATAATCTGTTCTGTAAAAGACTTTGAGACTAGAGCAGAGATTCACCTTCCAGCAAACATACAGTACAGTCACAATAACGCAGTACTGATCTGGTGCATGTGGATCCTGATCTCAGCGCTGCTATGCTCACTTCTGGTTTGAACCTTAAAGCATGTGGCCTTACCTGTCCTTTCTTTTGTTTTTCTTTCACATCGGGCAATAAATTTAGATTTTAAATTGCTAATCCTCCCTTCTAAAGAAAAAGCATGGAGCATGTAATTATGATGTTGGAAGTTGTGTGACTCATTTCTAAATGGGCGACTTTTGAAAATTACACAATTATAGGTAATGACCTGTTTACAAGGTCAAAGTAGCACAAGACACGGAAGTTTATATATAGTCATGTTGCAAAATGTCCTGCATTAATTTAAGTCTACCGTCATTTATCACCACAGGCTGGCCGAGATAGTATTATTACCAAAAAGCCCCAGTGATAAATGTGTTAGCCCCTTCTCCTGATCATTCCTTCCCTAAAGGTGTTGCTATTAATAGCAAACCGTCCCACAAATGATAAGACTGAACAAGACTGTAATCATCCGATCATCTTTTATCTTCTAGTTATCCATAATTTACATGTTTCCAACAGGAGACCAATTAGAGTTATTTTTGCTTTGATCTCGGATTGTATTGTATCCTATTTCATAAGAGCTAACTGGCGTAAACAGGATTCAAACCCACAGTCAGTGGAAATGTTGTGTAATAGAAAACCCTCAGAAAGTGATAAACAGCTAAACTGGTTTACACATGAGATTTGAGAACGTTATATTTATCTATCTCCATAATTCCTTGAAATACTTGCCTACCTAGAAAAATAAACTCACACGTTGTTTTTCGGGACATAGATACGGAATACTGTATTTTGCTGCTTTCACTTTCAAATGTTAAGACACAAACGTCCCCTGTCATATTTCTCTTTCATTTTTAAAGATGAGCTCTGAAAACCATTCATTACCCGCAAGCTAATTTTTCCCATGTGTGGGCAAAGCTCTCTTTTACAGCAACGTATAATTACCGACCGCTGCGTCTCACATGCAGTCTCTTGAGTGTCATCCGCAGAAACAGACGAAACCTTCCGTGTGCTACCTGTTTGCAAAAAAAAAAAAAAAGAAGCTTAAATCTCTTTCTCAGCAACTGTGTTGGTTCACGTCTATTGTCGGGCAGAGTATTAAACTTACCTGAGCCAAAATGTCAACCGCCGATGCCAACTAACTTGGAGCAAGCAAGTTTCTCGAAGAGTCGTGTCAGTTGATTTGTGTTTCCAGTTAGACCGCCTGCCAGATTTACTGGCACACAGCTGGTAAAGCCATGCAATAAGTCTTAAATAATAAGGCATTCACTGCAATGACATGATTTCATACATGTATATAAATTTCATCCCATGTTGATGCAACAATTATTGTCAACCATTTCAATTCCTACAAAAAAAAAAAAATACATACACAAGTAAAGTGCACATCAACAAAACAAACATATATACTTTGAAGTTGATCAGAGAGTTATTAATCCATGACTCTCTTTTTTTTTTTTTTTTTTGCTGGGGTGCAAAAAATTATGGGATAGATTTCCTTCAGCTGTACTGCAAAATGGAAAATAGAAGAGAACTATTAGTTCAAAAAGGAAAACGCGTGTCAGTCTTGATAAGTCATGCCTTATGTTATCCATCTGTACAGTTGCAGCAATAATTATAGTTTATTTGAAAAATTACTTTTTATAGGAGTTTTTACACATCTCGCATTTAGAGGACTAAAGTAACAGTTTGTAGAACAACTTTACTTACAATGTTAATCTCCTTTTTTTTTTTAAGTTAAGCAAACAAAATGATAATATAAACTATTAAAATACATTTGTGTTAATTTGAATGCTTTCTGATTATGTCGTTGAATAACTGAAGGTCCCCATGTTCCCTTACAGTTATCTCCAATGACGACATCTGCAGCTGGGAGCTCCGTCTTTCGCAGCGATCCTCCAACCGGCACCAAAGCTCTAAGGGTCACGGACCTGACTCCGCCCGAGGCCTACTCCGCCAACAACCTGAAGTGGCTCCACACGTCGCCTATCTGCTCCCCCACAGCCGAGGAGGCCCAGGCTGGTCCCAGGCACCCGCTGTTGCCCAGAGACAAAGACCTTACGCAAGACAGTGCTGTTTCCTCCAGCACAGACGGCCATGCTAAAACAGACTCTGTGCCCCGAGGCCCGCCGCCAGGCAAAATCAACGCCCCCTGCCTGGAACGGCTCCTTAAATCCACAGACAGCATCATCACACGCAAGGAGACTGGGGGTTTGATGGGCAGCAGCTGGTCCTAGTCCAAACACAAGGGGGGCTGGGGCGTCCGGACGCAACGTGGCGTTCGACCTAGCCTCGCCTTGCCCCCATCCTGCTCAGAGCCAGTCAGCCAGCTTCGCTCATTCCAACCTTCAGGATTGCGTTCAAAACAACAAACAAAAAAAAAAGGGACGTCGCAGATTCCTCTTCAGCACGGAGCGGGTGTCGACGAACACGCTGCTGTCTCTGACACGACGAGCGTCCGCCTTCATTTCCCGTTTTCTGTTGACTTATCCTCGTTTCTCTAGTTTGCATTCTCGAGTTGCGTGTGTGTGTGTGTGGGTGCGCGCGCGCGTGCGTGTGTGTGTGTGTGTGTGAGCGTCCAAAGGCTAGTCGACACGTGCGCTGATAACCGAAGCAAGTATTGTCAGAACTGGAGTCTTCCCGCCGGCTCCCGGGTTCAGTGATACAAGTTTACACCAATCTGCTGTTTTGCTTGGTAGGGAAGATACGTCTTAGCTGGTAGGAAGGATTTTCACATATTCATACGTGGTCTACATATTGTGCTGAAAATGTGGCTGAAATGTGATGGTAGAGACCCCTCTTAGCCCCCCTCCCGCCTCCCGCCCCGCCTCCCAGTGACTCCACTCTTAGGTTTATTGATGTGACTGTTACTCATTTCTACTCTTCATCGATAAATCCTTTTTGGTACAACTGTTCTACCTCATCGAGCACCACGTCACGGCTAGTGAGTTGGGATGTGACCACTTTGCTCAGAGTCTGGACCCCCTGATCAGATCTGCGGTGAGCCAAACGGCCTCCGACGGCGAGGCCGTGCAGTACAAACAGAGGATGCTCTCTCTCTCTTTCTCTCTCTCTCTCTCTCTCTCTCTTTCTCTGGCTCTTTCTCTCCCTGTGGCCTGACTGGTGCCATTGTAAAGAATGTCAACTGAAGAGTTGTTTTTTCTGAGTCTCCCAGAAGAAGGCAAACAGTGCCTGCAAAGTCAAGCTGTGCCTGTGAGCTGGTTTGATTAAAAAAGAAAAAAAAAGGAAAAGACGAATAGAGAAGCGTTTATATTACCTGCACCTCTGTGGGATGTGTGGAATCAGGAATTGTCACTCTCCTGCCATTTTCCTGTACGAGTAAATTATTGCCAACTACTAGCTGTGGTGGAGTAGAACAACTATCATTTTGTTTTGCCACAGAACTAGACGGTGTGTTAGACCACCTGAGAGGGACAAGCGACGTGTCTGTGTAAATCTTACTTCGAAGGTTGTCGATTTACCCTGAAAAGTGGCCTTTATAGTGTGAAATTTTATACTTTCTAAATAAATGTGGTTATATTTGTTTGATGCAAACTGCTTAAGATTATTATTTTTTTCCCCCTGTGAATATTTTGTTGGATTTTTACTGTTTGATTTAATTGAAGAAGAAGAAGCTTTACGGTTTTTGCCAGTCTACAAGTTTTCACCTTTTTTTTTCAGTTCTTAAATACTCGTCTCAAATTTTAAAACAAAGCCTCTTGCTTTGGCCTAAATGACCCTAATTCTACTTACTCTGTTCCGGGCCATATGGATTGACCCAGTGGGTTGGTTTAACACAACAGAGTTGAGTTGTGGCTTTCATCCACCTGAAACTGGTTTTAATGTGAATAATCTCTTAACAGTGATGATACCAAAGAGTGGGTTGGAAAACATAACTCACATCATGGATTACTAAACAACTAATTAAAAAATATATATAGTTTCACTGAAATTCTGCAATAAAAGATGGACAACATAATGTCTGACAATAACACTTTTACTGAGAAAGAAAGAAACTCGGATAACAAAATCAAATGCTGAGTGTTTAACATCATGTGGAATATTGCTCATCTCATCTTGACTTTACAAAAACATTGGTTGCTCAAAGTGAGAAAGTTTAATATAGCTAATAGCACATTACTTAGCAAGTAAACGACTTATTTGCATTTGGGTCGATGAGAACAACATTATACCTAAGGGTCAGAGCATCCTAACTGCAAGTTGAGTTGTCTAATTGATGTGATATCTACCCACTTTTAGCAATACATGTAAGTAGTAATGCATTTCTCCAATTCTATTTGATAAAACACAGACAAAACATGTTTATAAGTATGTCTTTTATGCTTGGACGGGAGCAATATCATAAAAAGTTATTTCATGTTTTAAAGTACAGAGCTACTACTAAACTATAATAATAAACCATACGCTATTTCATTATTTTTCAATTACATTTGGCCATTTAAAAGAAGTATGGCCTTTTAAACCTCTTTCAGATATTTTATTCAGTTGTGAAAACTCTACTTACATCTTAATAATGATGCAAATGTGGATCTTTTTTGTATTCAATCAGATAAAATCAAGGCTTAGCACACATCCATCAGACATCACCTGATTAGAAAATAAACTGGTGTGTAATTTAGTGTCAGTATATAATAGATAATAAATACAACTGCTAAATGATGACTTCAGACCTCCCAGCATGAGGAAGACCAAGGGACACCTACAAGTATGTCGGGGCTAACGCTGTGGAGAAGTTTAAAGCGGCTTGTATCACGAGAATGTGAAAAAGTTAAGGCATATTAATGCTTTTCCAAGGCTCTGTTTGATATACAAGCACACATTTTCATATAAAACAGTATCCAGTTCACTGATTATCTGAAGGAACAATATCTGAAGGAAGGAGTGGTGTGTGTGCGTGTGTGTTTGTTTTCAGACTTGAACTAGACTACAGACTGCACTTGACTGTAAAGAAAGGAAAGCTAAATATTAGCAATGAGGATTACAAAGACAACAAAAATGACAAACAGCAATGATTGTAAATCTGAATAACATTTCCAATCTTTGAAAAACGGATAGAAATTCAGGAGAGCCCTCCAACCTTGGGACTTTGTGCTACATCTGCTTTTTCTCACCCCAGCTCAATCGCATTAAAACATGGTGTATTTACAAAGTTATCAAAGCAGATTTATTTTATTTTTTTTAAGGTACGGCGCTCATATCCCTTTGAGCTCCGCATAGTCATGTGTCACTTTTTCTAGCCTGAAAGGGGGTGATTGGATTGATTAACCACCCTGCATTGTTTTCAGCGACGCTGTCCCAGATCCCGTCAACCAGGGCAAGGCTAATGGTCCGGACTCACGTGCATAGATGACCTGATAGTGTCCATGGCCAACCACAGCGGGCAAGGACTGTCTGGAAAAACTGAAGCTTTTTATTAATGACCGGAGGCGCTGCATCAACAGAAAGGGCACCTTTCTAACTGCGTGGCAAAAAAGGGGCAACGCCAACAGACATCTTGTGATGCCCTCCAGAAATAAAACATTAGAAATATGAGGGGACACAGCTTTAGATGTTACACAAAATGTAGTGTAAATATTAATCCTCTTGTGTATACTGCAAAGTGTATACAGGAAGCTCTTTTAAAATGTTCATACAATAACAACCACAAACTTCAATAACCGAAATATACTTATATTATTCTGTCCTACTGTTGGCTTTTTGAAATTTGAAAGACAAAATCAGCAATAAAAACCCAAGTCATTGTTACTTTGCTCCTCGGTTTTTTTTTTTTCCACGAGTGTTCAACAGCACAACGGCAGATTTTAATATGCAATATTCTCAGCCAGGATGTGAAATTGTATTGCTTTCCATTTTAAAGCTGCAGCATTTTTTTTTTTTTTTTTTTTTTTTTTTTTTTCCTTTAGAAAACCAATTGATGTCTGAGTTTCTTTTGTCCAGGCCACATTTTACGGGCAGAACTACAAAGACTGATCATTACTAGAGCAGCACAAATGAGAGCCTTTTGTTAAAAACGTTCAAAAGGAGAGCGGGAGAGGGGGAAAAAAAAGGTTATGAGGACTGGTTCAAGGTTCCAGGTGCAAAAGGGTAGATGGAATATTAAATAGGGCCTCATTCACTCAAGCTGCTTTTTGCTAATTGGCCTTCACTTTGAGAGTAAAATGGGAACGGCATTATCTTGAATTACAGCCAGCATGATGGTGCCTCGCTATGCTACAGTTATTTAAGGCACTGCATCGCAGAAACGTGCAGACACTGTTATGTGTGAGTTCGCTCTCCTACACATACCCGATAATATAACTAATGGAGAGGTCTGTTGTGCAGCTTTTGTCCTATACAATAGATCCTATTTTTGGAAATAATTGCACCACTTTGTGCTGTTCACTTTTTCAAAGTTGTCGGTAAAGTGCAGGTCAAATACTCCGGTCTATGTGCTCTGCTTTGCCAGTTTGTACCATGTTACAGTAACGCCAATAATGACAAAATTTTATATAAATCATCCCGAATGCCAATTTTGTTCACTGTCAGACTGTAACCCATGAGTCACAGCGACTTGCGATGCAGCTGTGGGCAGAAGAATCCTCACTGATTTCCTCTGTAATCTGTGAATTGTTAGAACGGTGGAATCTCTGCTCAAATCATTTTCCATGAGACCTCCACATGCTGGAATCCCATTCCCGCAAAGCAACGAATAGACTCATTATGTCATTACGAGCTGCAAGTGATTCATTCGCACTCCACGGAGATAATGGTCTCATCTGTCAGAGAACCAAGCACCTTTAATTAAGAGATGTGTGAACTGAAAATATCCCCCCTGCTCAATTATCAGAAAAGCAGGTTATACAAATAATTAAACAGTAGCAATAATCCAGAGCTGCTTCTGACTGTGGGGTCTTCAATTCGCCAGTCCCAGTCTGGTTTGAATAAACTGGTTAACGTCGTCTGGTTCTGTGTGGATGACTAAAAGCAGCGCTCTGGAAATCTTCTGAGCTCCAAGTGGCAAAAAAAGCACCAAGTGCATCTGTGACTCAGGTAGGAAAGGGCCTCTGGCATTCAGAGAAGTGCAATCGATTTTGCTGGCTCCAATAGGTTACCCTTTCAAAGTGACAGAACAGTGCTGAAAGGGCCGCAACATCTTACAGCGAAGGCTTGCTAGGTTTTTGTATCTTTTGAAAGTAGGTAAAAGGAGACTTGTGTGTGCACAAGAGACTGAAAAACACGTCTTAGTGTTCAAATATTTTTCTCTTGTAAGATCTTTTTCCTGACGTGGTTGAGACTTGTTGATTCAATGTCTAAGCCGTGTTTGTCAATCTTCTTCAAATTTCAGACGTTCAGGGGATTATCACATTTTATCTCTTGGAGCTATATGTACTTATGTATAAATACACATAAATACCGTCACATCTATGCTTCATAGATGTGACTGGGTTTATTCATGCACAAAAGACGCTTGATTTGTTCACATTTAGACCTCGGTAAAAACACGTCTTTTGGCTTTGTCAACAGCTTTACATTTCTAATTTAGCTGCAATTGATGCACTGAATAAGCAGTCACTTAACTACCAAACCAAACATTCAGACCCACATGTAAACAACAGGTAACCCGGGGCAACAATTAACCAGTTGTTGTAATTTCTGCATAATATGTTTGGGAATGAGTCTCTCTGTTTCCAGGATATTTAATAGTTTAGAGACCACGGTAAAACAAATATGCTTGTATGGGGTGATTTTAAACAACAATGACTGTTTGTTTTGTTTTTTTTGTTTGTTTGTTTGCACCCAAATATGTGCTCTTACAAACAAAAGCTGGTGTCAGCCATGTCTTCATTCACCAACTGGATGTTTTTCTCTGAAAACACACAGGGAATATGGTGCACTGACAGTTGTCCTTGTTGCCACAGATTCACAGTTTCAACTAGAGGCCCATCTCTCAAGTCACATATTTTGTCCTGAAAGGGAGCAGTAGTCACCCTCCACACAGTAATGAGCAATCCTTGTCACCTCCCTCGAGTCTAATTGCGCAGGTACCAGTGAGGCAGATCACAGGAGATGAAGCGCAGTGGGAAATGAGATCACTACCACAGAAATGCCACTCAGCGTTCAAGAGAACAGAAGACACTTCTCGCCCTCCCCTTCATTCGCCCACTCCCATTTTGTCTTATTTCCAAGAATAAGTAGGCAGACTGTGCTCTCGTAGGTATGAATAATGGAAGCAGCCTGCAGCAGGAGCTCATTTCCAGTGAGTGATCATCACACCGATGTAAGACCTAATGATCACACAGATAAAGAGAGAGGCTGGCATGCATGATTAACATGGTCAGGTCTGCCTCCAGAGCCACGCGGCCGCTGCTGTCGGATCCTCTGACCGCTCTGAGTGTACAGCATCAAAAGCATCTGGGAAAGTATGACTGATTGTGAATCACTGGACTCAGCACCAAGGGAGCAAATAACACAATCATTAACTCTAAATAAAATGTTATGAAATATTTACATTATCCAATATCTTTACTGGTAATTTACATAGATATGATCTGTACTATTTTCTCTTTATTGTGAATATGTCAAAAGAAAATAATGATTTAGATTTTTTGCGTGCATTTATTAAAATTTAATTTAAATAACACACAAAAATTGTTTATTTACTAAGTTGTGACACATTCGGCTCTTGGTCACTAGATGGCACTGTTGTACAAAAAAAAGAAAGCATCTAGAGAACGCTCCCTCTTCCTCATAATAAAGTCAAGCTAACGTTAAAGATACACATCTCTCAAAAATAAATATGAAAACAGATATTTTTAATTTTTTTAAGGAGGTTTTGACAAAAACTGGTATATTTTCTCTGTTTTTTTGGCTCATTCTGATTTAGAGTCTCACGTTCACAGCGGCATTCTAACAGAGCGTAGTGTAGGTTTGACTCATGCTGAAAATAGGAGATATCGCAATCTGAGCGGATGACACAGCCGAGTCAAACTCTGCTCTAAAGACATCCTGAAGGACGTGGTTTTGAGTTGCACTGAGGTTTTTGATAGCACGCTTTATTTGTCTGCCGGAATAAGCCGTGCTTCCAGTCAGTCATATTGACATAAGTCTGCTGGAATCCCACAGAAGTGATCCCAGCACGCCAGCTGTGACTCCTGGTGCCTCGGACTGAACCGTAGCGGGGCTGACTGGAAGGCACGTCATCTGAATCTGACCCAGTGACAAAGACCTGAGCTCATGTATCACCGGGAGGAGAATGAAACATTTACATTAAGCTGCCTGCTTCATCAGACCAGACGGGGGTACAGATGATAGGGGTAGGAGTTTATAGTTTAGGGGTAGGAGTTTATAAGTTCTCACTTCTTCCTACCCCATTTTGA